TCTGTCTCAAAAAAAAAAAAAATAAGGGCATGAAGCAGGATCTCACCTAATGTGCACATTGTGAGGGTATATGATACCCCCTTGGTGAGGGGCTCTTCTACAAACAGAACTTTACCCTTGAAGTGAGAAAATGTAACTTAAAAATTATACCCTCCTATTAATTTGAAAAAATAAAAAACTACTTTAAAAATTTAATTAATGATCTTTAAAGTTTTTCTCAACACACCTAAGATCCTCTCCTGGCACACATGTTGAAAAATCACTGTTCTAGAGGCTGCCCACATTCCTTGGACTATAGCTCCCTTCTGGCTTCAAAGCTAGCCCTAGCTGGTCAAATCTTTCTCAGGCCACTTTACTCTGATTTCTGACTCTCCTGCTGCTGCTGCTTTTAACTTATAAGCACAGTACAGTGGGCCCAACAGGATAATCCAGGATAATCTCTCCGTCTCAAGATTTATTGACTTAATCACATCTGCAAAATCCCTTTTGCCATGTAAGGTAACATATTCACTGGTTCTGGTTCTGGGTTAGGGCAGGTACTACTTTGGGAGAGCCATTGTTCTGCCTACCAAAAGGTCTATTTATATTTAAGGAAAGAAAGAAATTCTTTTAACTCTTCCCAAGAATCAGCAAGGCCTTCTTCCTCCCAGACCTTCTGAAAACAGCCCTGTAAAGATTGCTTTTTAAAGATCTTCCTTCAGTGGATAATAGGCATCTGTTTCTAATAAAACACTGTTAAAACATTTGAAAATGAAATTTCATTCTAGAATATTAAAGTCATTGAGAAAATCTTACACAAACAGGTTAATGTTAACCTTTGTTATTTGCTGACTATAAAATATAAATGCTATGATACCACCTTCCATTCTTTTGGATACAGTTATTGTATCACTGATATTCTATCAACAAATTCCAGAAAGGAGGATTCAAACATTAGATTTGAAAAAGAAAATTAGAAAGATTTTAGGACAAATGTAGTTGAGTAAATAGAAACTAAGCTCACGTTTGCAGAGCTTAATTTCTGATTTTCTCACCGTTAGCTCTATATCCTTAGGTAACCTCAGTTTGTTTATCTTCAAAATGAAACCAGTGTATCCATCCTTTTATACCTTACGGTTTTATTTAAGATGACAAACATGTATGTATGCATGTGGGGATGTAGATATCTCCTTATCTATATAGGGGCTATGACTATTGATAGTCATAATGCTAAAACCAAAAACCTAGATATTCATCATTATATAACTTAATAGTAATGCAGCTGTTAATTTCTAATTTATTAATTTACCCCAAGGTATAAAATTTATGACTTTGAGAGTCTGTTGGCAAGTAGCTTGTAATAATTCCCAAATGTGATAAAAGAACTCATCAATATCTGTGACCTTTTTCAAATGTTTAACTTTACCATTGGAAAACTCTCCAGGATTGGAGAATTAGCTGCTTATCTTTGTAGATGACAAATGGTTTAATTAACTATTATTTTATACTTCAAGGTCTCGAACTGGCTATAACATGTTGATATAAAAAATTGTGTCTAACACTATGTTCCCATTGATGTTTTCAACAAATTTATACATTCTTAGGAAATTACCAATAGTATTCCATTCCAAGCAACATACATTTAAAATTTTCTATAACTTAGCATTGTGCTTTCTAGGGTATTTTTGATGTCCAAATTGTGGGTATAGATAATCTATTAGAATCCTTGAGACACTACCCATCCACATAATCATTTAGAATACTGAGTGATGAGATTTTTCAAAACAATGGAGTTGCTTTTACACATTTTATTAAGTAGTGCATACTGTTTACCATATCACTTAAGAATATGTTCCTTAGACTGGGTGTGGTGGCTCATGCCTGTAATCCTAGCAATCTGGAAGGCCAAGGCAGTGGATCACCTGATTACACAGGTTCGCAGCCAGTCTGAGTAAGAGGGAGACCCTGTCTCTGAATATAGCCAAGCGTTGTGGCTGGTGCCTGTAGCACCAGCTACTGGGAGGCTAAGGCAAGAGGATCACTTAAGCCCAAGAATTTGAGGTTGCTGTGAGCTGTGACACCATGACACTCTACCGAGGGCAACATAGTGAGACTCTGTCTCTAAAAAACAAAAGAAAAGAATATGTTCTTTACATAGAAGAGCACTCATGTTATGAAGCAGCAAAGCAGAACTTCAGTTAAAAATAAAGGGGTCTGGATTATCCTGTCATAAAATATTTGAAAAATTCTGGAGGGACCATGAAGCTATTGGGAAATGAAGACTTTACAGAAAACCCTAAGAATTTACAAATAGCTTGAGAAATTATTCATAAAATGATAGTTACAGAGTGGGAAGATAAGGACAAACAAAGCACCTGGAATAAAGTTGATAGGCTTTATGAAATACTTGTTAAGTATGTAAGTGATGTTGAACTGGTAGTATGTAAACAGAGGAGTGAAGTTAGTTAACTCCCTGGTCTCCTGCTTTGTCTGCTTAATTAAAGCTCCATTATATTTTCATAGCATCTGCAAGAGACAAATAAATCCTAACTCATTGAAGCTGCTGTATTGCCGTTTTATGGTGCACTTTTCCTGTTGGGTGGTAGACTACTGATCTCACTAATGTAGATCTCATTCCCATTGCCTATTGACTGTCCTGATGGAAAATCACTAATACATTTAATAGCAGATTAAATATAAATAATCAAGTTTAGGAAATTTGGGGATAACAATATCCTGAAATTCACCTGCATATTTTGTACTACAAGTGGCAGTCTTGGTCATTGAAAAATGTCATTAAAGGAAAGTCATGAGTAACTGACCACTGCTTAGTATTGTTTTCATTTGCTTAGAACATGAGTGCTTGCCTCTTCCACACCCAGTACATACAAAGTTGTACTTCAAGACTGTCTTTAGGCTCGGCGCCTATAGCTCAACCGGCTAAGGCGCCAGCCACGTACACCTGAGGTGGCGGGTTCAAATCCCCAGCCCGGACCCGCCAAACAACAATGACGGCTGCAACCAAAAAATAGCCGGGCGTTGTGGCGGGCGCCTGTGGTCCCAGCTACTTGGGAGGCGGAGGCAGGAGACTCGCTTGAGCCCAGGAGTTGGAGGTTGCTGTGAGCTGTAATGCCACGACACTCTACCCAGGGGGACAGCTTGAGGCTCTGTCTCAAAAAAAAAAAAAAAAAAAAAGACTGTCTTTAATTATGTTTCCAGCACAACTAATAGTATTATAAGCAACAGGCAAAGGGGGGCTAAACTTACTAGACCTGCTAAAGGATCTCATACTGTGATTAAACCTGAATATCAGATTTCATGTAGTAGTTACTGAGAAATAATAGATTTGGGATGTCAGAGAGTCATTTTAAGTAGATCTTTTAAACGTTATCTAAAGGGACATATACGTTAAATTGCATCGTGACTTGAGAGAGGACATTAAAAATTGTTCAAAATCTTTTTTTTTTGAGACAAGAGTCTCTCTCTTTTGCCCCAACTAGAGTGCAGTGATATCATAATAGTTCACTGCAACCTCAAATTCCTAGGCTCAAGTGATTCCCTTGCCTCACCCTCCAGAGTAGCTGGGCATATAGGTCCCCAACTCCTGGCCTCAAGTGATCCTGCCTCCATAGCTTCCCAGAGTGCTAGGATTACAGATGTGAGCCACAGTGCCCAAGACTGTTCAGATTCTTGATTGAGTAGTTTGACCTGGGTAACTCTGTACCTTTATTTTGGTCTGGCCTCATATGCTTTATGTTTTATTATTATCATTATTACTATTATTTTGCTATTACTAAATTATTATTATTACAGTTCTTTATTCTTTTATTGGATTTAATTTCCCTTTACAAAATATGCATGGACCAAAAATGTGACTTTGGGAGAGTATTGCTGAGTTGTTGCTGATGTCAGTTTCATACTGTGATATTTTTTTCTCTATTTACCAAGAGATCAGTATTTCAATATAACGATGTGCATGTTTTCCCCCCCTTCTCCCGCTGCATGCAGGGATTCGGGTTCGTAACTTTCGAGAATAGTGCTGATGCAGACAGGGCCAGGGAGAAATTACACGGCACCGTGGTAGAGGGCCGTAAAATCGAGGTGCATGTCTTCAATAATTCAATTTCTGGTTTATATTTCATTTCTCTTTTTTTTGTATTGCCTCACTTATTTCACATTTGGAACCCTGTCTTGTTTGTGTGTGTGTGCACATGTATGTGTGTTTGTATCTCTGTGTACTTCACCTTCCTGCATTAAAATATATAAAAGTAACATTTCTGTCTGCCGCCTCTGCCCCTATTTTTTTGGTTGTTTGGGAGTTTTTTATTTTAATTTATTGTGTGTATGTATATGTTTGTTTTTCATTTATGTTTTTTCTCTAGAATGTTCATCCTTCTGCTCTTTTGATTTTTTTCCTTTGCTTCAGTTTGCAAGACTCTTGAATTCTTGTGATCAGGCCTAAGCAAAACTAACAACTTTAAAAATGTCTAAAAACTATTCAATTTATAACATTGTGTTCTGTGATGAATCAGGGGCCAGCCAATATCCTTTTTCTCTTGGGAGGCCAGTTCGCCTCTTTGTGCAGATGATAAGCATGGAATAGAAGATCATAGAAGTTGTGGGGAGGGAGGAAAGAATCCAAAACTCATGTCGTTTTAAAATATACCTAATATCAAAAATAAATAGAAGATTTGATGGCTGGCTGGTTATTAAGTCAGCCACCTGGCATTTTCTAGCCTTTTTTGATAACACTTTGAAGGTTAACTGGCTCCTTTTCCCCTTTCCCAATTTTTAAAGTATTAAATATAAAAGCCACCATTTTGAGTAAGATGTCTGCATATTTTGCTTTTTTTCCCCTCCTCTCCAATGGTTTAGCATTTAGGGCCCTTCACTTGACTCACTCTTTCCATGGTAACTATACACAATGCTGGCGATGGTACCCGTTGGCGGTAAGTGAAACAAAAGCACTAGAGAAGAAGCTTTTAAAAATGTTATTACAAAACAATTAAATAAGAAAGAAAAAGTCCATCTGCCATCTCACATTAACACTATAAAATGTGATTTGACTTGTTGTTCCTCTTCCTTTTCCTTTCCCCCTTTTATTTTCGATGCTATTGAGTAATGCCGCCTGGACTTTGGATGTACATATTGTTTTGTAGCAGTCTGAGCTGTTTGATTACTGACTTCATGGTGATTTTTTTCCCCTTTGCACATCTTACTCAGAGTCCCTGAACTCCAGTTTGGCTAGTTTTATTGATGCACTTTCCTGCCCCTACTTCCTGTCCTCCTCCTCCTCTTCCCTAGACCTCTATTTGCAGTTCTGACTGTTCTTTCTTTGCCCTTGCTGCCTCTTTCCTGTGATTGCACCTTTCCTGACTTCCTATTTTCTTTTTCCCTACCTTATTGGTCTCATTATCCAAGTCCCTGCTCCTGTCCTTTTCCCTCGTAATCCTTCTCCATCCCTTCAGTTCCATGCAGCTGTTGGTCTCTTTTGCTGACTGGTGGTTTCTGATTGGTTCTGGCCATTTTTCTTTTCAAGTGCTTGGTTGCATTCTGCTCCAAAAGCTGGTTTCAGCTCCTGCTCCATTCTAATCCTTGTCTGTGACAACTTTGCTCTTCACTTTCCCCCTTCTTTCCAAAATGGGTTGTGTTTTCTTTCTTTTATTTGTGTGTGTGTGTTTTTTAACTGCATGCTCTCAGTCTCATCATTGTTGTATCCCATTCTTTCTTTTTAAATGTGAAATGTTTATATTATCTGGTGGGCCAAACTTGAGTAAATGGAGTTTCAAGCTCTTTCCTCACATAGGAGAATCATCACTGTACAGACCTTAAAAGTCATAAAAAGAGGTTTTTTAGTCCCAGTGCTACCTAAAATTGGCCTTTTCATAACACAAATTTATCACTGTACAGATTAGTACAATGCAAATTGGAAGAGGCAAAGTAAGACTTTTATATATATTTTTTAAATTCTTGCATTTTATGACCAGACAACATAGTATATAATGAGGTTCTATGGTGAGGCTTTACCCTCCTTGCAAGAGCTTTGAAGCTGGTTCTGACACTGGGCTGCATATCTTGGCTTCTACATTCCATTCATCTTTTCTTCAGCAGCACCATCTTTGTAAAACTTCCTTACCTTAGCGCTGAGAGTGTTTAAATTATGCAGTTCTGTAACGAGGGTAGAGAGTACCATAAAATAAACATTTTATTTTCTTGATTCATTAGCCTATTTTAAAGGCCTTCTGAAAACTTTTTCTTTTTTTTTTTTTTTTTTGAGACAGAGCCTCAAGCTGTCCCCCTGGGTAGAGTGCCGTGGCATTACAGCTCACAGCAACCTCCAACTCTTGGGCTCAAGCGAGTCTCCTGCCTCTGCCTCCCAAGTAGCTGGGACCACAGGCGCCCGCCACAACACCCGGCTATTTTTTGGTTGCAGCTGTCATTGTTGTTTGGCGGGTCCGGGCTGGGGATTCGAACCCGCCACCTTAGGTGTACGTGGCTGGCGCCTTAGCCGGTTGAGCTATAGGCGCCGAGCCTGAAAACTTTTTCTAAATGAATATAACATACCGTCTCGAAAATTCAGAATGGCCCTGAAGACTGTCAACATGGCAGTCTTAAGCTCCTGTATTTTTTTTTGCTAACCTCAGATAGTAATATCTTAGATAAACATACCAAAAATGCTGACCATTAGGACAGATGAAGTTAAGAGGTTTATTTTATCATTTTCCCATAAGTCTATTAATCGTAAGCCTCTGTTTTATTAATGAACTTCAAAGTTTATTTGATAGTGTAATTGTTTCCTATTTACTTTTTCCCACATTTTCCTTAGTGCAGAGATGTCTCTTAAAGATCTCTAAAGAACTTGCAAATGTGTTTTTTCTTTGGAATACTAGGTAGTACAGTTGCCCTAGTTTTCTATTTTGAGACCAAGAAACTGCATTTTACTCTTGTTAGCCTCATTTAATAAGCACTTTAATTCAAATACTATATATTAATATTTTATATTGCCATATTAATTATTTAGATCAATGCTCTCAGAAATTTGCATTTTAACTAAGTACTGTGTTACTAGATGAGCAACTCCATGTTTCCTAATGTGATCTACTTCTTCCCTGCCCTTCTTTCTACTTGTTATTTTTAGGTAAATAATGCTACAGCACGAGTAATGACCAATAAGAAGATGGTCACACCATATGCAAATGGTAAGAAATTACAGATTGTCTTTAGAAGAATGTCATTTATTCTCATATAAATATATGAACTTCTTATAAACTTCTAAGAATTTCTCTTAATTTCAGTCTTAAACAGTTTGTTTAATTTACATTGAAGTAGTCTCTTTACCTAAGAGTATTCTATCTTTAAAAATGAATTTTTCACTAGAATTAAGTTTTTTAGTTATTAAGGTGATCTGTTCTAAACTAAATTTCTCAGTTATATTAAGGTGTTCTGTTCTAAGTTCTATCTACACACAGTACAGATGTGTCATTTAAGGTTGCCTGTTAACCTAAATGAAATCTCATTTGAGCACCCTCTTTTTCTGCTGCTCTAGTTCTTTGTCATATGTTAGATTTTCCCATAAAATCCCTGGGTGCCCATCAAGTCTCACTTTTTTTACTACTGATTCCTGTTCCTTAGAGCGTGAAAGGAATAAGTTGGAAGGATAAATATGTTTTAGTCACTTTTACAATTCTGGATGCCTTGCTTTCCTTAGAAGGCCTAGAGGGAGCTACCTTGGGTATATGTGTATGTGTGTATAATTTTCCGTTCCGTGATTACATATTGTATCATTAAGTTTTATAAATTTCTTAGAAGAATTTGCCTTAACAAAAACAGAACTTTTATATCAGTTGTCAAATTTAATCTAAACTCATTTTCTCTAAATGAGATGGAATATAATTTTAATCTGTAGTTTAACAGTAGTTTTGCAGACTATTCTGCAGAGTCAGCCTGAGGAAGGAAAAAGAGGAAACCTATAGAGTTGGATCCTCAGATCTCCAGCCCTACTTCAGCCTGAGCAGCTCCTCATTTACTGTTGTGTATTTTAGGGATCTGCATAAGATTTATAGCTATAATAAAAGGGGACATTTCTGCTGGTTTTTAAATGAGTTTGAACCTGCTGTGCTAGCATGTGGCTGTATGTGCTAGTAGTAATGTCTTAAATCAAGTAGAAAATATATTAAGCAGATATTAAGCATATCTCATAAAGCATATATTTAAGCAGATCTTGAGCATATCTCAAAGTCTTCAATAAATATATTTAGTCCAGCTTTTCACATACATGATAAAAATTTATCAGTATAATTTGCATTTCCCCCCATTTTATTAGTATTATAATCATGTTGTACCACCACTTCCCACTTTGCCTCCTATTTTCTTATTTTCACTGCTATGAAATGAAATAGCATTCATAGTTTTCTGCAATTTTGATAAAAACCCAATGTAAACAAAATAGAAATGAGAGGCAAACAATGTCAAATTTCTTTAGATCCAAGGTGATTGATGTGACAGAAAGAGCCTCTGACAGGAATTGAGAAGATAAAAAATTCTTCTAGATTTAACTCTTCATTTTATTCTGTGACAGTGGGCTGCTTTCTTAACCTGTCTAATCCTGTCTTCATATCTATAAATTGGAGACTACAGAATTTCAGCACCAGAAGGCTTTTTAGAAATCATCAAAACTCAACCCTCTCGGCTTATTGTATAGGAAATGAAGCCTAGAGAAGTTATAGTACTTACTCAAGATTGCAGATATGATGCCTATCTTATCTTCCTCTTTGGTTTTATGAAGGTCAGATGACATCTGTGAAAAATATACTGTAAATTCTGCAAAACTAAACGTACTCAAAGTCTTGCAAGCAACATACCAACGTGCTTTCTTGTTTGGATTTTAAGGGAGTGCTCAAGAAATAGTGTGGTAGGAAGGAAAAGGATTATTTAAAAAGTACTCTAAATTATTAATAATATTCAAGCCTGCTGATCAAGACATCTGTTTCTGCTGTGTTAAAGGTGCTAAGAAGAGTGGGTTAGGTGCCTTCTGATGTATTCTTAGTCAGCATTTTCATTTATGATGGTTAGAATTACTTAATTTTTGCAGACGCATTGTGCAATAGTCATATTATTTGTATACATTTGACATTACAGAATGTTAATGTTCTTAGAATTCAAGTAGAATTTGAACCAAGATTTTGCCAAATTTATATAGACTCATGAAGAGACATCACCACTGTGAACACATAAAATGCTCAATAAAAGAGTAGAGTGATAATTAATTTAAAAAAATAAAATAAAAATAAAAATGATTAAAATTGTTTAAAAAAGAAAGAGTAGAGTGAGTCAGAATAAATGGGATTTTTCTCTTAATGTCTTGGCTTATGGCCATTTAAATGTGGTAATTTTAATAGAATTGGCCTTTTCTTATTTCCATTTGTATATTTGTAGAGTAGCTGTGACAAATGCTAGAGACTGAGATTATATAAAAGAAATCAACAAAAGAGCCAATCTTCTCAGAAAAATAATAGGGTATATTTGTTTATTATGTATAAAACTTAATAAATATTGATTAAAGTGAGCTATTGAGTAGGGTGCCAGCCCCATATACCAAAGGTGGCGGGTTCAAACTGGCCCTGGCCAAACTGCAACAAAAAAATAGCCAGGCGTTGTGGCAGGTGCCTGTAGTCCTAGCTAGTCCCACCTACTCAGGAGGCTGAGGCAAGAGAATCGCCTAAGCCCAGGAGGTGGAAGTTGCTATGAGCTGTGATGCCACAGCACTCTACCAAGGGTGACAAAGTGAGACTATCTCTAAAAAAAATACTGATTAAAGTTTTCATATGGAATTCTATTTGTTCACTATCAGTGGGCAATAGTATGTTTTTCCTTTTTAAAAAACCACTTGCGACTTGTAGTTCAAGCAGCTAGGGTGCCAGCCACATATACTGGAGCTGGCAGGTTCAAATCCAGCCTGGGCCTGCCAAACACCAATGACAACTACAACCCAAAAATAACCGGGTGTTGTGGTGGGTACCTGTAGTCCCAGCTACTTGGGAGGCTGAGGCAAGAGAATCACTTAAGCCCAAGAATTTGAGATTGCTGTGAGCTGTGATGCAACAGTACTCTATGGATGGCAACATAGTGAGATTCTTGTCTCAAAAAAACAAAAAGATAAATAAAAAAATAAAAAAAATTTGCCATCTATAAATATAAAGAAGGCAAAGAAGAAATAAAATTGACATTAAGCATAGTGTTATTTGGAAACTCTTAACATTTATAAATGTTTAAACTAATGTTCTGTAGGAGTCTGATGTCCTTTAGCTAAAAAGTCTGATTAATTTAAGTATTTTCGTTACAAATTAAAACCTCAGAAGACATGCTTTGAAGTTGGGAATATACCTTGAATTTCATTACTGCAAGTCTTTCCTTTTTTACTTGGTAAACTGCAATGAAATCCCAGTGGTAACTCCTAATGAAAAGGGATTTTAATTTACCCATAATACCAACATGGTAAAATTGAACAAGGAGTCAAGAATCTAGGCCAAATAAGAATTCAGTCAAAAGATACCTTTATTAAAAACAACTGGAGAATGGCACCTGTGGCTCAAAGGAGTAGGGTGCTGGCCCCATATACCGGAGGTGGTGGGTTCAAGCCTAGCCTTGGCCAAAAACTATAGGGGAAAAGAAAAAAAAAATCTAGAGTAGGCTGGGCATGGTAGCTCACACATGTAATCCTAGCACTTTGGGAGGCCAAGGTGGGTGGATCACTTAAAGTCAGGAGTTTGAGACCAACCTAAACAACATGGCAATATTCCATCTTATAAAAAAACAGAATTAGCCAGGCATAGTGGCACACACCTATAGTGCCACACACCTATAGTGCCTGCTACTCGGGAAGCTGAGGCAGGAGGATCATTTGAGCCCAGGAATTTGAGGTTGCAAACTCAACCTGTGATAACTGTACTGCACTCTGTCTAGCCCAGGTGACAGACCTTATCTGAAGGGAAAAAACAAACAACAACAACAACAAATCAGACAAGTAAACAGGGTTAAGATGATATGTAAGAAAGTTCATCATAATATGGTACAAAATAACACGCATTCTGCCTTCTTTTCCTTTTTCTGAACTGGGATAGGTGAGAGCACTAAACCGCATCCCTGGATTTATTTATATTTATTTTTTCTCCTGTCATTGCAATTCCATCTTTCTCCCTTCTTCTCTTTTTTTTTTTCTCTTTTTCTCTCCCCCACCACTGCCCCATTACTCCTACCCACCCCAGCTTCTCCTTATCCTTTCACTGTGCTTGTCCTGCTTAAGAACAGTACTATTATTACCCTCTCATATAAACCCCAAGCTGTCCTTTGAAAGAGAAGGTGATAAAAAGCAAAAATAAACCAGAGATGTCTGAAGCCCGCTTGACATGCATAGACCATCCTTTTCCTCATGTGGTCTTAAAGGCTCATTGTCCTTTTTTCTGTTTCAGGTTGGAAATTAAGCCCAGTAGTTGGAGCTGTGTATGGTCCTGAGTTATATGCAGGTAGTATTTCAGTTAATGTTTCCTTTGGTGCTAAGTGTAAAAGCATCTTTTACTTTTCCATTTGCTATTCCTTGGTAATCTTTTTGCATTTTCAAATTTTCTTTTAAAATACAATCAGCATCCAGCTTTCAAGCAGATGTATCCCTAGGCAATGATGCGGCAGTGCCCCTATCAGGAAGAGGGGGCATCAACACTTACATTCCTCTAATCAGTAAGTAGCCTATGTTGGCCTGGTATGGACTTTAACTGTTGTAAGTGAACAGTGATGTGGTAGGGTTTTTTTTTTTTTTCTTATATAATACACAACTGTGAAGAGGAAACATTCTTAGAGGAAAAGTAAATACTATCATTGTGCCCTGTCCTGCTTTACCTGTGCTAGAATTTTCCTGAGCATGTATTAAGATTGCCACAGAGCAAAAATAGTTGGAAAAGGTAGAAAGAGTAAGAGCGTATAAAGAATATTTCAGTCTGCACTTAATAATAAAGAAAACAAAAAAAGCAAGTATGCTCAAAATACATTATACTTGTCCTTTGCAATTCAACCTTAGGCCCTCTAGGAGAGTTTTTTTTTTTTTTTTAGAGACAGAGGCTCACTTTATCACCCTTAGCAGAGTGCTGGCATCACAGCTCACAGCAACCTCTAACTCCTGGGCTTAGGCGATTCTTTTGCCTCAGCCTCTTGAGTAGCTGGGACTACAGGTACCCACCACACCTGGCTGTCTTTTTGTTGCAGTTTGGCTGGGGCCGGGTTTGAACCTACCACCCTCGGTATATGGGGCCGGCACCCTACTCACTGAGCCTTAGGCGCTGCCCAAGCCCTTCAGGAGAATATCACTTAAAATCACCTCCAGGGCGGTGCCTGTGGCTCAGTGGGTAGGGCACCGGCCCCATATACCAAGGGTGGCAGGTCAAACCCAGCCCTGGCCAAACTGCAACAAAGAAAAGTCGGGCATTGTGGCGGGTGCCTGTAGTCCCAGCTACTTGAGAGGCTGAGGCAAGAAAATCGCCTAAGCCCAAGAGCTGGAGGTTGTTGTGAGCTGTGATGCCATGGCACTCTGCCAAGGGCGACAAAACGAGACTGTGTCTCAAAAAAAAAGGTATCTCCAGTATTATTGATTATTCTCAGCTCTCTTGATATCACTACGGTCGTTTTGACCTGAATCATTTTACTCTAGCAAGAGGTATAGTTAAACAGGATTCAGTGGACATGGAATCAATGTCTCTGCATGCTTTCCTGAGGATAGCACACTTAAAATAGGCCCTTAGATAATGCCTGCTTCTTTAAAGGATACAAGGTGACAGAGGAGTGGTTTCCCTCTCACCTTTGTTTCTGGCTTAAAACTTTTAGATAAAGGAATGAAATTAATGAAATATCTGAAGGCTATTGTATGCCTTAGAGGTTGGGCTCATATAAAAATACAAGAAATATTCTTTTGAAGAATAATTATTAATTATTTGCACATAACAACATTTATAGACAAGATTAATAATTGGCCTATTACAGAGTATGTGATTTAAATTGGTTATAATAGGTAAAAGACTGTCTCTTATTATGGCAGTAATTCTCAGAGCTTCTTGACTTGTTTCTCACCAGCTCACATTGTAATGCCAAAAGTGGGAAGGAGCCAAGAAAACTCACTCCAGATTTGTGGTGAATGAGGCATGGAATCATTTGCTTTTGCATGTTGCGTCTCTGTTTCCATTTCTTACCTCATCAGAGACCCAGAGTAGGAGATTTACTGAATAATATGTATAGCACATTTTCACAAAAGATGTGGTGCATATCTTTTCATTTTTTTCTACAATTCATTCACAGCTAGTTGTGCCTGTATTATTGGCTATTGAATGCAAGTTGAAATTTCTGTCATATTTTGGGTCTCCCTTTAGTTCCTGGCTTCCCTTACCCAACTGCAGCCACCACGGCGGCTGCTTTCAGAGGAGCCCATCTGAGGGGCAGAGGGCGGACAGTATATGGTGCAGTCCGAGCAGTACCTCCAACAGCCATCCCCGCCTATCCAGGGTAAGTATTAGATTCCAAAATCAATGTTTCTAAAATAAGCAATTGGAAAAAAAAGAATACCATGGCTCTCTCATATCTTCTGGGATGTTGCCGTGCCACATAGTAGATATTCAATGAATATTTTCAAATTAACAAACTAGATGGCAAGAACCAAAATATACCATCATCAGAATGTGACTAAATGTCAACCTGTTACATAAACCTTCATTTTGGCCACCTTAAGCCCTCGTGGTAATGGCTTAAGACAGTAGCCAGAACCGTCTTGTGTTTACTAGCAGTGTGTTGGCATGGAGTTCACTCAGCAGCGCACGAATATGGATTAACATTATTGCAGAGAACCCAAAGAGGAGCTCGAGATTGTAGTACAAGACTGCATCTGCTGTGTTCACCCCCTTCTCACCACCACATGTTGGGGCCAAGGCTGTCACATGTGCCCTCCCCTTTGGTTTCACTGCCTGGGTGGTGAGCAGCAGAGCTAGTTACCCACAATGGATTTGCTTTCTTTGTAGGAAATGGATTAAAAGAGGTTAATTCTAAGATGAACCAAGTCCAATTGAATCAAGGGAGAAAGGGAGAAGTAGGAGGAATTAAACTGCAGTTGGCTTCTGAATGATGGTAAAACAACTAATGCAGCTGAGCATCCTTCACCCTTTGATTTTGTATGGAGGGTGTCTCATGCAGTGGAATGATTCCATAGCAACAAATAAATCCTTTGTTACTGAATGGGAGAGGAGGAGTGAAGATGGCAGGTTTTGTTTTTAGTTGTTTCTCAGTGTCAGCCAAAAATGTATATTTTTATAAAGAGTGGACTTTTCTAAGTCAGTCATACCAAGGACTTTCTTTCTTCAAAGGTGTGACATTTCTCTTCTTGATCTTTTCTCTGCCTATGACAAATTTTTTTCCTGTATTCTTACTAAGGGATAAATAGTGCAGAGAAACCTATTTATTAGCTGCTACTTAGTTAAAATATAAAGGGAAAGAAAGAGCTTCCTTTGTATGTCCTTTTCTGATAGCAAAATTGGCTTAACCTTGAGTTGTACTAATTTAGCATTCATTCATTCATAGACCAAATGGACATACCATGAGGAGTTCTCCATTCCTCAGAATTAACGCATTTTTATTAGACAAGGCAAGTGTGCATGTTGAAGTGGGCAGGCTCCAAAAGACACCGCTTCAGAAATTAACGTTTGTTGGCAGTTTATAGATGTTTAAATCCCATGCATTCCATCATCTCCATCTTCTACCATTACTTACTTTTAATTTTATCCTTTTTTTCTTGCAACTTGACCTTTGACCTTCAACCTCTGACATCTCTTTTAAAGAAGTGAATATGCAGTATTGTTTCTTCAAGAAATATTCAAGTGAAACATAAAATTAAACCTTTTGGAAGTTCTACACACAAGAAAATTGTTCATGAAGTGTCTTCCATTTTAATCAAAGAAAGTTTACAATCAGGTTTGCAAAGAGAGACTGCTCACCAGAAACATGGGACTTCTTTATTTTGTAACATTCCTAAGTTACTTTATAAAGTGGTTAAATTTATTCCTATTCAATGTAGGTCATTTCAGTTTATTGGCCAAACTTGAGAATCCGTTCTCTACCAAGTCTATGTCAGGTATATATTTGCTCAAAAATAGTTGATCTTTATGTCTAATCACATCAATTTCTATGCATTACATTGAGCACTAATTTCCCATGTTTTCCTTTTTATTAACTAAACTACCTGTTTACATGGAAGATGGCAAGGAATAAGTCCAGTATTTCATGGGGAATGGCCTAGAATTGCTTTTCAGCTTAGTAAACTAATTTCATCATTAATCATCGTGTTCTAGCTTCCTTGTGGCATTTGATACAAGGAATATTGGAATTCCTCCAGAACTTACATAAGTATCCCCAATAAGTGATTCAACTTAGGGTAAAATTTATTCATGTTTTTAAATGCCAGCACTTCCTTTATAAAGGGAATATTTTTATCTTTGCCTGTTTCCCTTACTGGGGCAGAGCCTGTGGCTCAAAAGGGAAGGCGCCAGCCCCATGTGCCGGAGGTGGTGGGTTCAAACCCAGCCCCAGCCAAAAACTGCAAAAAAAAAAAAAAAAGAACCTGTATCCCTTACTGAAATCTTTGATGGTTAATTAATCACTACTCAGCCTTAATGCTTTCTAGTTTATCAGCCTTCTCATTATGAATAAGTCTCTTTTTTACTAAAATACAATTGAGAGGTAGATTACTTTCTAATAGCAGACTTTAACTGCAATTGGAATCTATGCAGGTAGATAGAACTTAGCTAAATGAACATCAAAGATGAGTTTGATTTGCCTATTATGTAATACAAAGGCATAGCATATTTGAGACATAAAGTATGACCATACTGTCCTATAAATACAACAAAATGTCATTGAAAATAGAATTACAAAACTTTTCAGCTATCTGTAAGAAACATGTTATTTAATACTAAGTTGAAAATATGATTCGATGACTTGATTTTACTTGCCAGCTTGTTTACTGTAACAGAGAAGGTAGTGGTGAGAATCTAGCTTGTTTAATTGAATAAATAGTAGCTCATCTAAACTAAAATAGCTGATGTTGACTTAACAAATATGAAGAAGAAAGTTTTACATTGTATCTCAACTACTATTCCATATCTTTTGGTCCCAAAATAATGTTTGAGGGAAAGTCTGTATACATAAAAATACCTCAAAAATTGAAAATCTATATTTTAAAAATAATAGTACAGTGTTGCTCAGGATTTTAAAAACAAAGTCATGCTTGTATGTTTGATACAAATTCATTGTCTAAACAGAAAAATAAACTCTTCTATTTCTAACCAGCTACCTTCTCAGTTTTATTCTTTTAAATAAGACAAGATGATCCTTGGTCATGCCCAGAACTTCAGTTATCAATTGTATTTTTCAGAATTTTATGAATATTCTTATGGCCAAAAAAGAACCCTTAAAATCTTCCAGTTACTCCTTCCCACTCTGGATTATATTGTTACTATCTGGGATCCCCACTGCACCTTTCAATTCTTGGACCTTGGACCAATCACCTTAACCTTTAGCTCATTATCTCTGCTTGTGAAAGCAATGCATTGTGGGTATTTTTGGTTGTCTTTTTTTTTTAATTACATTTCTCTGTTTACTTTGGTCAGAATTGATTGACTTGTTTTTCTGAGGTGTTGCATTGGTTCTTAAAATGCTGAATAATAATACTTTGCATGCTTGTGTGATCAGCCAAATCTTATCGCATGTCTAATGTGCAGGGTAAAAAACAGGTGATGTATGGATATTAGGACAAAAATTATAATTACTATACAACTGAAAACAAAACATTAAACATAATTTTGAAAGATACTTTGCATATAGATCCTGCCCTGATGGAATTCTTTGGGTTTATTTTCTTCATATTAAACCCCCTTCCACTTGCACCCACTCCCCTTTGTAAGCTCTTTAAAGAAAGACTTACTCCTAGGGCAAGCTTATTTTAAAAAATACTTCATATACACAAAGTTGATGTTTGTAATCCAGTGGATTTTAGATAGCTGTAATAGGCTCTTCTACGAGTGTTTTTTATTGTGTTCATCTTACTTTAATTACCAAATACCCAGGTTGCGCATTCCAGTTTTGCACACCCTTCCCTCTCCTCGCATGTCCTGGGGCTGTGTAACTTGTGTATGCACTTTCACGTTTTTCTCACTGACCTGCTGTGGCCCCAAGCCCAGGTTTTTATTCATACATCACCTGCCTGTGTAGAGCGCATGTGCATGCTGCCGTCCTCAATAACCGGAATGTGTTTCTGTTCTTTTGTTTTTTTTGTTTTTGTTTTTGTGTGGATTTTCTGCAGTGTGGTTTACCAGGACGGATTTTACGGTGCTGACCTCTATGTAAGTACACACACTGGGGCCTTCTTGACCCCATCCCTTGACAAGCCAGCCTTTTTTTTTCTGTTTCTTTGGTTTGGTTTTTTTTTTATTATTTTTAATTTAATTTTTATTTTCTTTTTCCTTGTGGATATATATATATATACATTTATATATTTAAGAATGCAAGCATGCTTCTCTGCCACTGCGCTTGCCCCTGGGTGCAAAAACTAAGCCTTTGGGTTTCCTGATCATGGCCAGGGTCAGTCTACTGGACATATTCTTTTCCCTTCCCTTCCCTGTACCCACAGATATTTTGTGGATCACTGATTTATTTGCGAGATGATCAGCAGGTTTAAAGTCTTACTACTGTCGGGTCATTTGCATACATAAATAACAGGACTAGCTTAGCCTTAAACCACCTCTTTCCCTTTTCTGCTTTTCTTCTCATTTCATATCCCTTTTTAGATCATTAGAGCTTTGATTTATGTAGATGGCAGTAAGCTTTCTGTACTGCGTGTTTTCCTATTTTACATACTTTGAGAGTCCATTATCTTATGGAATTATTTAGGACTGATGCCAGTGAAGAGTGTGTAATAATGAGAGGATGCCAAATAAAAAAGGTATTAAGACCTTTTTTAGCAGAAGGTCTACAAGCTGGATCTCTTAAAGAGTCAGCAAGGGGAAATGAGTGGCATAATTAGCAGCCTAGGCTCTTTCTATAGTCATTTGATTATCATACAAGATTTGTTGATTCTACTAACCATATTAACATATAATCCATTATTTAAACTGTTTAGCCATACTAAAGTTCCATGATTGGTTTGTTATGTAGTATTTAAATATGGACAAAGTGATCTAACTGACCAAGAATAGAAGTTTTTGAGTTTTAAAGTCTTTTACTGGGACCTCTTCAGATAGTCTTCTTTTCTGAATGCAAGCTTGGCCTTAAGTCATTAAGAGACAATTTTATAAGAAAAACTTGTCAGCCTAAAATTATTCTGTGATAGTTTAAAATGATCTGGAAGTGCTTTCTCTACCCTTAACGTCCCCAAATCAAGAAGGGGACCTTTTTAGTGAACTATTTGCGCAGTCTACCAGACTAGCAATCTAAAAATGTTAATGCACTTTCAGAATGCATTCAGAGGCTTTGTATAAGTAGAGATAGAATAATAATAATCCTCCAAGGTACAGGTGACTCACCTCTACTGCTTAGAGTAGGCCTTTAAGGTATGCCTTTATTTAGCCATGATTTGGACCAACATACTAACTTACAAATACGGTTTTTAGAAAGATTGCGACTTACCAAGAGTTATATAAATTACTCACATAGCCAACCATAAAACCCAACTCATCCATTTTTCATCATCTTTCTTTGTACTTTAATTAAAACCCACCTTCTTTCTTAAAATGTTTTCAAGAAATAATGAAAGTTTTTTTTTCCCCCAGGTTCACAGTGAAACTTGAAGACTGGGGAAATCTATCTTACTTTTACACCAGATTACACATTTTTTAATGTACATGTTTACATATGATGTAAGCATATACATTCTGCCATGTACATTAGTATCCATATTCTCATGAAACTCATCTTTATGTTATTTAAGTTGTTTTATTGATAACCTGGTCTATTAGAGCAAACTTTTCCATTTGAATAATTTTTTAAATCAAATTTTTTTTTCTGTAGTATTTTCCTTATATGAGGAATTTGGAAGGGGGGTTTTTTTAAAGTATGGCCTACTTCTGTCTTACTAAGATTTGCCTACTTCTACCTTGTTAAGTCAACAAACATTCATTCATGGTTATCTTATTTCCTTTATAAGATTTTATTGAGAAAGACGATTTCTCTGTACTTTTCAGGAAAATACTTTTTTAAAAAAAATACACTAGCTGGATTACATTTTCAATCTAAAACATAAGGAATTCAGTGATTTTTGCCAAAATAATTTTGGACCAGTGGTCCCTTGTTGATGAAAGTAATTACTAACAATGTTATTATCTTCCTTAGTTCCTATCTTAAAGCAGGTTCCTTAGAGAAAAAAGTTAATCACTAGTGTTGAAGGAATATACAAGTCAACAATTGAAAAGCAAGAATACGTTATGAAGTAACTATTACATTAGGCCTAAAACTACAGCATTTTAAAACAGTATATTCTGTATTCCACATGTGAGAAAGCAAAAGATGCCTCTTAAAAACATACACAAACAGCCTAGCGAGGGGGCTCAATACCTGTAAACCCAGCACTCTGGGAGGCCAAGGTGGGTGGATCACTTGAGTTCATAACTTTGAGACCAGCCTGAGCCAGAGCAAGACCCCCGTCTCTAAAAATAGCTTCGCGTTGTGGCAGATGCCTGTAGTCTCCTTGCCTACTCAGGAGACTGAGGCAAGAGGATCATTTGAGCCCAAGAGTTTGAGGTTGCTGTGAGCTGTAATGCCACGGCACTCTACTGAGGGGACAAAGTGAGACTCTTTCTTAAAAAAAAAAAAAAAATAAACAAAAAACCTATTATTTTGCCTTGAGTTTATTTCACTTGTCTTTGCATTTTTTTCCATTGTGGAAACCTATCAAAATATATTTAGTTCTTAGTTCCTCTGAAAGACATATTGGAACTAGAAAGAATAGAAGGTTTAGTATAAAAAGTGCATTGAATCAGAGCTCAAAGAGAGGACATGAGGGAAAAGATTGTAAGTTACTGGTTTTGCTTAATTTATATTAATTTAGGCTATTAATTGTAGAGGGTTTCTGTAATCCCTTTTCCTGTTCCATTCTTAGACAGTAGATCCCTGCTAGCCATTTTCTTTCTTTCTGTTTCTTTTATGGCACATTTCTCTCTGGAAAACTGATCTAGCAATTGTGTCTCCAGTTTGTAAAGAAACTTTCCATGGTAGGATTTGGAGTGTGACAGATAATGTGTCCACCCCTCCTCTCTCTTTTTTTGACCAGTAGAAAAGGCATAGTTCACCCTAATCCACTTTTTAAATGGGATAACAAACTGCTCCTAATTCTCAACCTGTGAAAAGCATGCTTGCATCCAAAGGAAAGAAAAGGCTGGTGGGCCCCTTAGTGGGCTTTTTGTATGATTGTTTTCCTTCCACAGCTGTGTTTTTTGAACTGCTCTTCCTGTGTTCTGTTATAGAATAGTCTTACAGGAACCAATCATTAGCGCTAAAATACCTCAGGTAGGAGTGCCAGTGTGACCTGCCAATCAATCAGATTGTGGATTGCAGTGAAAAAATTGAATTATACTAACCATTCCAGCTCCACGTTAGAGATGGGAACAGAGGCTTTTTTGGACAATCAAGACTTGTGAGCGTGTGATCTAAGCCCTGCTACCTCAGCAGTGCACATAGTCACGTTCTGTGCATAATAGCGCTTCCTCCAAAATTAAACGCTCCTGTCCCCTTGCCACATACCTGTGCCAGGTGTCTTATATGCACTGTCCCATCACTGCCACCTCTTTTAATTTGTCGATCACATTTATGTAAGATATTTAAACTAGTTTTTTATATTGGAGATCTAAGCATTTGGGGACATTTCTTAGTACTGTAAAGGAACTGAGAAAAGCGAAGGAGTAAAACTATGTCCATACCAGATTCCTGAATCCCACACTGGCCCTGTAGTGAAGTCCTGGTAGTAATTATACTCTGCTGCTACATAAGTTTGAATTTGCCTCAAACATCTAACCATAGTGGGACTCAAAAACTGAGATGTGCATTTCCCCTGCCCTCTCTTCCTTTCACCTGAGAGGATCAGGGAGTTCATTTGGGTAGTAATACACTATTATTAGAACGTTTACTGATAGCTGGATGCTAGGAGAAAGAAAACAGTTAATGGCTTTTCGCAGTCCAGTTAGTTTATTTATGTAACTACCCAGCAAGATTTTGGAAATAAACTAATTCAGGCAGATGTGAAATAATAAAGTGCTTGAAAGGTTTGATTCATTAAAGATCATCTCTCCTGGCTTGGTGCCTATAGCACAGTGATTATGGCACTGGCCACATAACGCCCAGGATGGTGGGTTTGAACCCGGCCCGGGCCATCTAAACAATGACAACTGCAACAAGAAAATAGCTGGGCATTGTGGGTAGATGCCTGTAGTCCCAGCTGCTTGGGAGGCTGAGGCAAGAGAATCGCTTAAGCCCAAGAGTTGGAGGTTGCTGTGAGCTGTGATACCACAGCACTCTACCAAGGGCGACATAATAAGACTCTACCTCAAAAAAAAAAAAAAAAAAAAAGATCATCTCTCCTCTGTTACAGAAGTAATAAGTGGAAGTTATCAAGTTAATCATAACAATTTCTTCGTTTAATTTTAAATAATATTAAGAATTTAAATACTTTTTTAAAAGTTAACTGCTTTTCAAAGATCTCTCTGGGTGGCGCCTGTGGCTCAGTGAGTAGGGCGCCGGCCCCATATACTAAGGGTGGCGGGTTTGAACCCGACCCCAGCTAGACTGCAACAAAAAAATAGCCTGGTATTGGGCAGGCGCCTGTAGTCCCAGCTACTTGGGAGGCTGAAGCAAGAGTATAGCCTAAGCCCAAGAGCTGGAAGTTGCTGTGAGCTATGTTGCTACAGCACTCTACCAAGGACAACAAAGTAAAAGTCTGTCTCTAAAAAAAAAAAAAAAAGATCTCTCAGTCTAAAGCAGTAACAGTATTACCATTTCTATAAGTTTTTGTATTTAGGTCTGTGTTACTCGTATTTAATCAAAGATGCTGTATTACCACATAAGAACTCTATGTCTCCTACAGTGGTGATGCTCAGCATGGGTGGAGAGGGAAGGGAAATTAGAATCATCTAACAACAAATAAAGGGATTCCCAGAGGGCTACCATTGAACCCATGCTAGTTGAAATAGATCTCCGCTTTGCTGTAGTGATTTTGAGCATCGCACCTGTCATTCCCTCCCCTCCCCTACTCACCTTGCTCTATTGATCAGTATTCTACATGTAGGTAACAAGCTTTCATTTTGTCTGCTGGTCTTGAAATACACTTTCCTCCTCACTGTCACATAATGAATGTCATTGTCTTCCAGGTAGAAAGAAGGTGTCTTGACATCACATGCTCACCAAAGTCCTGTTTTAATGTAAACCTAAAACAAAAATATGATAAAAATTAAAGGCCAGGTTAAAATCAAGACAAGGCAAGAGTCTCCCAGTATGAGATTAAATTAACAGATAAGCAGGTAAAGATCAGATACAGGAAGGATGATATTTAGAACCTTTCCATTTTGTTCTAGTGTAAAACACAGCTACGGAACTGCAGAATAATCATGTGATCAGTGTGGCAACATTATAAGGTTAATTAGATGATAAAATTCGTTCAGTGCAAAGTAGAAAATCCCTAGGAGGTGACATTCAGCCATGAAAAACTGAGAGTTTAACAACTGCAGAAGTCATTACCGAAAAGAATCTTAAAGACAACTTTTCAAAGGCAGTTTCCTTTGAAAAAGCTGGAAGTTGAGAACAGAGACATGTTATAGATATGTGAAAAAATAAAATTCCTAAACAGAGGAAAAATTTTAGAAGAATGCTGTGGATCAGAATATATGGCTGTTGACAGGGGGTGAGCATAACACCTGAGTGCTGTGGGTCAGGACTAAATTATATTGCCAGAATCAGACCAGTTAAATAGGAGTGATGGAGCCCTAGGCTGCCCCAGCGGGGGATACTAGGAGTTATTCAGAATGAACTGCAAAGATATAAGAAAGTAATTCTTTTTAAAGGGGCATGTGTGTATTTGAATCAAGCTTAGCCATACCAAATTGATCCAGCTATCAGAGTTTCAAAAAGCTGTCCGTGTGTGCCCTCCTACATTAGGGTGTGCTGTGGCCATGCTAATCCCCATTTTTTGTTTTATTTCAAATCACACACAGATAGAATCTGCAAACTGCTTCAGATCAAACAGGTCTGATTGTGTGTAAATACATATGTCCTTTTTACTTTTTATTAATGGTTGCTTCAGTTCTGCATCAGTGCATGGTTAAAAGCAATACACATCAGCTATTTCATGACTTCATATCTCCAAATGAATTATTTCTCCTTTTTTTTTTTTTGTTTGTTTGTTTGTGCAGTCAGCTGAAGAAATGTTAACATCTCACTCTAAATCTCTCAGTGGAGTCTCTGTTCCCTTCTCTGATATAACAGATGGGTTACTGCTTGTTATAATTATTAACATTGTGGTGTGGGCCAGGGCTAGGGTGGGCAAGATTTACTATTTCTTTGGGCTGGGGAGGGGCTAGTCGATAGGGTATGGAATGTTAACTCAAGTGGTGACTGACTGTTTCCGTAATACCAGGTCGTTGTGGCTGCACGCTCTAGTAATTGAGGCTGTGTACTTCACCGAGCTTGTGGTAGAGCCTAGGGCAAACCGCTGTCCCAAGAGAATGCTGGGATAGATAGAGTTAGCCAATACAAGTCTGAACGTGGTGATTTTGCTGGTTGTTTTAGCTCCAGATGTTGGCATGCTTAGTTTTTAATGTGATTAATAAATGTGGCGCCATATCCCCTCCCCACGCCTGAACCCTGTCTCTTTTACCTCCTTCCTACTTTTGTTCTTTTTTAAAAACTTAAGAAACAGTAATGAAAACCTTGGTGTTTCAAACTGCACTTTGTTCTCATGTTTTATAAAAGCCTTCAGATTTGCTGGTAGGAATGAAAATTGAGAAAACAGTTTCTCAGCCTAGAATTTTTATATATTCCAAAATGTGGAATAGAAATAAATACATGTGAATTGTCTTTGTCTTAACATTTTGTCTATTTTGTTGGATAACTAACTTAAGCAGCAGCAGAATACTTTGGAGTAAGGATATATCTAAGAAGAATAAATCCATGATAAACAATTTAATTTTGGCTCGGTACCTCTGGCTCAAGTGGCTAAGGCACCAGCCACATACACCTAAGGTGGCAGGTTCCAATCCAGCCCAGGCCGACCAAACAATGATGGCTACAACCAAAAAAAAAAATAGCCGGGCGTTGTGGCAGGCGCCTGTGGTCCCAGCTTGGGAGGCCGAGGCAGGAGACTCGCTTGAGCCCAGGAGTTGGAGATTGCTGTGAGCTGTGATGCCACAACACTCTACCCAGGGGGATAGCTTGAGGCTCTGTCTCCAAAAAAAATTTAATTTTTCTACTTTGGGAGTAGTCATTGGTATATTACTAAATAAGTAGGCTATTACCTGCCCATCCTAAACATAGCCCTCCTTTAAAAGGACCTCTTCATAACACCATTATCCTAAAGTAATTAGAGTAGTTATGCTGAAATATTATCTGTTAAAAACAAAAACTTTTTAGTATGATTTTCCTTTCCCTTTCTTTTTTCTCTTTATTTCAGGTTAATATGAGGGTGCAAACAACCAGGTCACAATTTTTCTTAATGTTCTTCTCAAGCCTTTTTTTTTTTTTTTTTTTTTGGCCAGGGCTGGGTTTGAACCCGCCACCTCTGGCATATGGGGCCAGCCCCCTTACTCCTTTGAGCCACAGGCACCACCCTTTTCAAGCCTTTTTGTTGTCAAGAAAGTGTTTGCATTCCTGAGTTTAAATAATAGAAAATTTCATCAAGTTCAAAGTCCTAGTTTACTTATAGCAAATATACATATATATATATTTCGTTTGTTTGTTTTGTTTTGTTTTGAGACAGAGTTTCACTGTCACCCTGGGTAGAGTGCTGTGATGTCACAGCTCACAGCAACCTCAAACTCTTGGGCTTAAGCAGTTCTCTTGCCTAAGCCTCCCAAGTAGCTGGGACTACAGGTGCCCACCGCAACACCTGGCTGTTTTTTTGTTGTAGTTGTCATTAGCAGGCCCAGGGCAAGTTTGAGCCCACCAGCCCCAGTGCATGTGGCTGGTGTCCTAACCACTGAGTAACAGGCACCAAGCCAGGAGATAGATTTCTCTGTCTCCTTTTGGATTGGCAGGAAGATTCTTTCCCATAGTCTGATCTGCTTTGAATTGTTTTGGTTAGCAATAATATTACTCCTGAACCACTGAGGTTCTGATGGCATCTTACAATATCCAGGAAAGTGAGGGGAAATGGTTCTGTCAGCAACCTTGCTTGGAACCTCTCTTTTTTTCCAGAATTAGTGGAATACAGCTCAAAGCCATGATTTGATAGACTGCTCAGAGAGACTGTAACCCCAGTATCTCCACTCAAACTTCCAGAAGAGTCAGGTCTGAAATCTATCCTTAGATGAGTACTTTTGAGCCTCAGAATCCCATACTGAGAATTTATACCTCTCCTATATGTCATAGGACTTCAGTTTTTAAATGTTTCACTTAGGTAAACATAAATAGAGCTTTAGCTACTTTTATAACCTTAACTTTTAAATTTTTAAATATTATTTTGATGTCTGGAGGAATCCTAAAGAGACAAAATCACACTTTACACTAGCTAACTTTAATTTCAAACTGATTTCAAACCATATCTAGTTATTTACCTTTAGGGCTAATTTAGAGCTTAAAATTCCAGCTGTAATTAACTTTTGCTTTGCTTAGCAAGTGCTATAAATACTTCCTCTCCTGTTTAGAAGCGTTGAAAAAAAAGTAAAGAAAAGAAATGCTTTAGCTAGTTAAATACATGTTGTTGTGGGGATATGCAGCTCTGCCCCATCAGTGTGGCCTGTCCCTTCCCACAGCACTGGCTGGAGTTCCAAAGAACTATGTTGATCACCAAATGCCCTGAGGGTGTTTCCTGTCCCTGTTCATTACTGTTCGATTGCCAGTGCTTGGTAATATTAGGATGGGCTTATTTATATGAACATCTGTAGAAGAATTACAATTGAAAAGGAAATGTATACTTCTGTAAATTACTTAAGAAGAAATAATTTGGAGCTACTTTTAATAACTTGAAACAGCATAAACTTAAGAGCAAAAGTGAGTTTCCTTCACAATGTGTAAATTATCTAAGAAGCAAATACTTTAGAAGCCCTTAAGAAATTATAGGTGTTTTCTGAAAGAAGATTAAGAAAAATAAAGGAAGCAGACTAGAAGCTGCCATATAAGACAGCAAAATAGAGGAAGGGTCCTATTAGAAAATATTTGTTTTCAATCCTAAGAAATGATAATAGAAGTAAATCTAAAATTTCTTTTATAGATTTAGCAAATGTTGACCATTTGAAGGAATAGAAAGTAGAAAGCACAGAGCAGAAAGTTTCAGATGTCCATGAGAAATGGACACATTTAATCTACAGAAATGAAATGTTTGTGCTATTGTTCAGTGCTAAAATGGTGTCCACATGGGCCTTGTAAACATAGTTATTTTTGGTAGTGAAAGAGCAAGAATAAAAATTCACATCTAGATGAATTCTAGAAGGATAAAGAACAAGTAGGGTTTGCAACTTTTTTTAAAATAGCCTGTCATATGTTGCATTTGTTGTCATTGTCCTCTGAGAGAGTACATATGGTTCACCTGATAGTGAAAGCCTTTTCGAGTATTTTGTTCATGTAAACAGAGGTGAAATATACATAGAAGAATGTAGTGGTTGGAAGCTCTAGGGCAGAGAGGATATATGAACCATTAGCAGAAAAGCTCCAGAGCTTGCTGTGAGGTTACTATGTAAGAATCTGAAACCTTCTAGGGAAGGAAAGTAAGCGCTGTTAAATACTAGAGATGGGGCTTCTCATCTCTTTGAATCTAGGCAAAGAATTCTCAGAAATTTGTAATCTGATATGCCCGCATCTGAAATAGAGATTAGAGTTGGCAGACGTTCTGTAAAGAGCCAAATAGTAAATTATTTTTGGCTCTGTATGCCATGCAGTCTGTGTCACAAGTATTTCAAAACCAGGTGGCAAATTGCATTGGCTCACAGGCCAAAGTTTGCTAAACCCTAATCTGTTTTGTTGTTTCCTTCTAAATAGTGCCTTTTTTATATTAGCTTTTTTAGCAAATAGCGCTCTGTGGGATGTCACAGAACTCTGTAGCCAACCTTTGCGTTTACATATTGAATCTCCTCCTAACGATCAATCCAAGGACACATCAGAGAGTCAGAAGTTCCCACATAGAAACTTAATAGGTCCTAACTCTATAATTTATGTTTATCAGAGTTCTTCCAGCTTTCTGTGAATATTTGCAATTCCAACAAAGACTATTAAAGTAAAACAGATCCAAAAGCATTCTTTTGTTTCTTACATTTAACAGGTATTACCAGTATAGTTGATTTTTAATATTATCACAAATTGGAATGCAAATCCCTGCGTTGGGTGAAGCTTAATTTTCTGTTAGAAGAATAATAACATGTAGACTGATGCAGTTTGAAACATTTTCTTCCCGTCTGTATTTGTGTCTGTCCCTGTGTCCACATGTGAGTGTATGTCTGCGTGTGGGTGGGTGCGTGTCTATCTGTCCACCAGGGGGAGAGGTATCTGTAAAGTCAGTTCTCTTCTTTCCTGTAGGGTGGATATGCAGCCTACAGATATGCGCAGCCTGCTACTGCAACCGCAGCCACCGCCGCTGCAGCCGCTGCAGCCGCTTACAGTGACGGGTATGTAAAGAGAGTGTGGGCAAGCTTTGGGTGCCGTGAGCACCAGCCCATCCCAGACATCAGCCCGTTTCGCTCCCTTTGCCATTTCTACTACAGCGCTTTAGCACATTGAGCATCATGTGGACCTGGGTTTTCTGTAGACCTTCTCTTTATGGTCTTCATCACACCCAAGGCACAAGGCACTAATTCTGTCCCCTGCTCCCCCTCTTATTTCTGTCTCTTCCTTGGCTTTGCCTACTGTGTTCCCTCTTCCTTATCTACAGCTCCCTTCTTATAGAAGTATTTCAGAATTTTTCAGAGTTGCTGAATTTAGGAGTAGAAATAGAAAAGTTTTTTTCTGTTCTTCCAGTTTCCTGGTAACAGTCCAGGACCTAGTGACTCATAAGTGTATAGCACAGTGAGCTGTTGAATTTTGTTAAATCACACACTTTCCTTTATTCTTTCTAATTGCGTTTCTTCTCTTCAGTTACGGCAGGGTGTACACAGCCGACCCCTACCATGCCCTTGCCCCTGCCGCTAGCTATGGAGTTGGCGCTGTGGTAAGTATACACGTTGTTTTCTCTTAAACCATTTTACTCTTTCTAAATTTTACCCACAGACTACAAAGCTACAAAAATCTAGGGAGGTAGTAAATTCAAGCCTTCGTCATTACCAAAGTATTAAAGCCACAAAGATCTATCTGGAAATTTCATGTCCCCTTCTTTGTGTATTATGATGTGAGCCACATAGCCTAGTTAAGAGCAACTGAAAGGAATGAGTAGTGACAGTCTGCCCTGAGTAATGGCATCATTTGGGAGAGATATAAGCAAATAGGTTGATTTTTTTTTTTATTGGTTTAAATGTTGGATACATACCTATGGCATAGTTCTATTGATGGGTATTAGCAAAGACTTGGGAGCATAAGGCTTTCAAAAAATTTACTGTATGTAAGTTTTAAATGCAAATACCAAAGGATAATTCTGCTATTTCTAAGCCTTCTGGTAGGTATTACTAGAAATTATGGGGATATTTTATTGATTACAATTGTGGCAAAATATGGTGTTTTCATGAATATATGGAAGTCCATAGAGCTCATCTACAATAATCTGTCCTAACCAGAATCCTTACTACAGTGTTCTTATGTTGGCTTGGCTGCCTCTGGTTCTTGTGATTGGGACTACACCAAAGACAGCCATTCCACAGTGGCACTTCTAATGCAAGGCATTCTCTTCAAGCCAAAATGCAACTGTGCAACTGCCTCTGAACATGAGCAAAGCTGTTTAAGAAGTGTAATATTTAAGGCTAAAAGGAATATAAGAAAGTCAGTAATTTCTCATGTTAAATTTCAGCTGACGAAAATTGGTGGAAGGAAGTAATAGGATCCTGAAGGAAAGTATGTTTAGAATTGAGGTAGAGTTCTATAATATAAGGATAGTATTTGAAGTTCCTGAGGTTTTATTTAGTTTATTTTAGTTTAAAATGTTATAAATCCTATATTCATTCCAAAGAATGACCCAAGACAGATACATTCCTGGGAAACTTAAAATTGAAAGAAGTAAGCCATTTGTTAAAATAAAGGAGTAAAGCCTAGATAAAACCATATATATGTATATATTTGAATATGTCAAGAAACAACCTCATTGGTGTATTTTATAGATGATAGAGGAAATAGACTTTATTAAAGATCAACTCAGGTGGAAATACAGCACCATCTCAAACGTGGGCTGTGACTACACCTGCCAATAAGACAGTGGTCTGCTGATGGGTACTGTGTGAGAAGGGGAAAGCAGGGATCTGGTTTTGGTCAGGATTGTAAGGATGTATCAAGGTGAACAATGACCTGCGCTTTTAAAAATCAAACTATTTGCAGAACTAGTTTTAAACTGTATTAAGTTTCCCATTTATGCTAATTCATGTAAATAATGAGATAAAACTATCATCATAGTCTCTTTGAGAACATCAGGTCTGCAATAAATTCACTGAGGTCTGTTTGAGCCCCTCAGAGGCACCTTGGTTTCCTGACTTCACTGCCTATGGCAACATCTGATCAGTTGCTTTCAACTTTCAAAGGAAGCAGTTTTTCCAAATCCCCCTTCTCAGGACATTTTTAATGTTTATCTCATCAACCTTTTAATTATTTTTTTATGTCTTTAATTACTGCAGGCGAGTTTATACCGAGGTGGCTACAGCCGATTTGCCCCCTACTGAAGTGACGTGAGACCCCAGCAAATGGGACAGCCCCCCAGTTCATGAGGCCTGGCTATTGCAATATTTACTAGTAGAGGAACTCTATAGCAAGATGAAGAGGAAAAACAAACAAACAAACAAAAAAAAAAACACAAAAAAAGAGAGAATACTTTTTTATACCTCACTATGTTCTTTGAATATGTATTTTTCCTTTAAATTTCTGCCTTTAATTCTTTTGTTCCAAAGATTGTGCATTTTTTTCTTTTTTTCTTTTTTTTAACTGTGGTAAAAAAAAAAAAAAAAAATAATGCATTTCCATGTCTGTATGTCCGTGCTTAGCTTATTCTATCACGGAAGAGGCAGTTAAGGAAGAAGGAGAGACTTAGGAGCTGATAAGTGCACCTGATCAGAAATCAGCAGACAGAGTTACCAAAGTGTATTTGGTGCTGAATGGCTGGGGAACAAGCAGAAGTGGAAGGGATCTTTCTGCAAAAGGATATTCTTCTAGTCTTCTGAGTTTCTGGTCTTTGGCAGGCAATTCTGATTGGCTGTGGCTGGAATCCACATGCTGATAGATAGGAATTTGTGCTTGTAAAGCCAGAGAATTAAAAAGATGCTTTCCTCTCCTCTTCCCTCCTGTCCTCTCCATTCTTTTTACAATCATCTTACATGCACAGCCTGAGACAGTTGGCATAGTTTTTGGAATTATAGTCTTGATATTTCCAAACATGCTCTCAGACTGTGGATAATAAACACCTCATTAGGAAACCGATCTCAGAATGAACTCTGGAGTATGAAAAAGAACATTTCTTTTCTTTTCCTATAATCCTAGCATTCCTGCTGGGCTTCTTCCCCTTTAATTGAACCTCAGCGTAGCTCATCTATTCTTTTATTAACACCCTGCTCTCATGTCCTCAAGATTCAGGAATTTAGGATCCAGGGACAGAAGAATAAGCCAGTGACCAGATATCTGCCACAGGTATCTGGATACAGCTTGAGAATTAGAAGTACAAATTGCACACAGCCATTAAAGAGGGAAAGGAAGAGAAAAGGAATATTAGAAGATCTAGTATTTCTTATCTTTTTCTTATATCAGAAAGTCCAAACAAAGTATGAAAAATGTAATAAAGACTTTGTTGGGAAAAGAAAACACCAGGTCTAGGTCAGTTGTCTCTGGAAGTTTGGGTGATTAGGACATGTGAGGGCAGGCAGAGGCACTTTGTACTTTCTCCAAAGCCATAGGAATTTTCATCTTCCAGAGCCTTTATGAGTCACTTCTTTATCCACAGTCTTGAGCCCTTGTGGCTATTCCACCCAGCTTCTTGTTATCCTCCAAAGACACCCAGCTGAGCACCTGGACCACTTGGTATACATGAACACTACAGGACATAAAATACAGAGCCCTGAGGTTGCTCCCCTCCCATATTGGAAGGAGGGTCTGAAATGGCAAGGATCTTATATATTGCCAGAAAGAGTCATGCAGTGGCCACAGCAGTGAGTCACTGGTATTGCCATCAGTCTGGCTTTAATTTTACATATTATCAAAGTAGGGGAGAAAGTGTTTCTCTTCTAGCTATTAGATACAACTGACAAAAGCAAGTGTCCTACAGCATTTCCAAAATGAAGGCATTAGGAAATAGGAAAGCACGGTCTTTTTGGCTCCCTGGTCTATTCACATTGGTACTAGGGTGACCTTTCACCCAAGGGATAGCTGCTAAAGGGAGTAATTCAGAGACATGGAGCTTCTGGTTTGTTATGGATTTGTTTTTGGTTTGTTTTTTTAACTCCTGCCTCCACACATGTTCTTGACTTGCAACTGATTCATGTCCCTGAATTAAAATGACTGACATATGACAGCATCAAGCATTCTTTGTAAGCAGAGTGATATATCTGGGAGGGCACTGGCCTGTCATAGATAATACATATCTTCGCCCCCTTCAGAGTCCTCTCCCCTAATAACTGGGAGAGAGGCTGTGCCTAAACCTAGGGGAGACATCAAGGAAGCTAGAGGCCTCGATGCAATTATTACTGATTTGGGGGAGGAAAACATAGAATAAGGGGATACCAAACTGCCCAGTCCATTGGCCATTTATTAAGGGTCCCCCCCACCCCAAGCCAAAGTTTGGTTTGTTGCTGTTATGACAATTTTTGTTGTATGTATATAAATATTTTAGTTAGAGGAGGGGGAGTGGGATGTGGGGCTTTCACAGTTCTAGGGAATGGGGGCAGGGATGATTTTTCTTTTTATTTTGAGGGAGAACTTTTACTGTACTAAAGAAACAAAGAAATTTGGGGTCATAATCAAATAGGGGCCATTCTCAGAAAATGGCAAGCCACTTACTCGGTGGAGACAAGGCCAAATTCTAAATGGTTGTATCCATAGCAGGGGAGGAGAATGGGGGAATGAGTTTAAAATTTTCTCTCTTCTTTTTTCCTAGAAAAAGATAAGGATGATGGGAAAGGTAGAGAATTAGTTCCCACAGCCCTTTAAAAGGCAGAACTTGAGCTTGAGGTACCTTTCGTGCATTTCAGTTCAGCTGGTTCTGGCTGAGGCCTCTGAAGGCAAGCTCTGTTGTTTTCCAGTGGGTTTCTGCTGCATTTCCAGGGATGGTTCTTAATAACCACTTCCTCCAGCTCCCTTTTCTAAGAAAGACTAGATGGAGTTCTGCTTTTTATGAAAGAGCCTTTGATTTTCAGTGTCAGCACTGAGCATTGGAGTTCTCCTAAGCATCTAGATTTCCATGGTGTCAACCTCCCCATCAGCTTTTGAACTTTGAGACTCCATACAGTCAAATTCATCAGAGGCAGGTTCCTCAAAGCAGAAATGCTTGTGTATTCCCGACTCTGCTTCTCATCAGATTAAGATACGGAGTCAGAGGAGTCTGACATTTAGTGAAGGATGCTGGTTGATAATTCCAAAATACTTACTGATGCTGAATCACAATCCATGAATGATCTTTTTGAGCTTTACTGTAGTTCATGATCTGGACTTTTTCTCTACTGAGCATTTTACTCTTAGAAGCTGGGCTCCTTTAACCAGACCTCTAGAGACCTTTATCCAGTATCCCTCTTTCAGCCCAGAAAGCTGCCCTTAGGTCTTTTCCAGAAGTCCTTGTGTTGCTTAGTTTGACTCCCATCAACTCAGATCCGCCATTGTGATTCATCATTTTTAAGGCTCAGGTTTAACAGAACCTACCATCACCATCATCCTCCAACAGCCACAGTCAGAATTGAGCCAGCAGATTATTTTCCTTGAAAAAGAAGCAGCCTGGGGCTAGTGGAGATCTAGTCAATAGAAATAAGTGATAGCAGCTTATTCTCAAATGCACGACTCCTCAGGGGCTGAACTGCTCTTAGTTTAGGATAAGCTTTACTAGAGATAATAGCAGATAAGTTGGTTAATCACTACCATTCTAAACCTAGTCATTTAGCTTCCAGATACAAGGGAGGTTTCAGATGGAAGCAACCCCTAGGATATGCAAGAAGGGCATGGTAACCCCCCCTCCCTCTGGCAGGAGATCAAAGCCGACCCAGGGACAGTTGGCTCTTAGACACTAAGGAGGGAAGAGGGGAAGCTGCTAGATGTGCCTTCCCCTTTTGCCCAGTCCAGCGGCTCTCTGCTGCTCACAACAGTAACATTTGCAGACTTGCAGGTTTTTCCCCCACATATTAGGAGGAAAGGGACTTTGGGGGGTGGGGAAGGGTTCGTGGTGTTTTAAAAGCATAAGTTACCTGTTTGCACTGTTTTAAGATAGGAAAAAAATAGTGGGCAAGGTGAACATCAGACGTAAATTTGTGTGTTTTTATTTTGTCATGATCTTGAAAATGTTTGACCATTTGTAGTATACACAGTGAAACTTGATTCTCTGTTGCATAAAAACACTTTTTGGTTTTTTTTTTGGTTTGAAAATGTTACTGTCCAAAAGCCTCTTCCCTCCCTTTCCCTTTCCTGTGTATTTCCTTCATATTTGCTTTACTGATCACCCAGGCAATAGCCATCCAAGAGCCAGAGCATGAAACAGGGCCCTTTCCAAGTAGGCTCTGGGTGTCCTAAGCCAGCGTGTGCCCTTTGGTTTAGTGAGTGCAGTAGAGTCTCTGGCACCTTTCTCTGAAAGTAAGGCATACAGAGCGGACTGCAGCAAGTTATTAGATTCCTGCATCAGATGCACTAGAAAAGAGGAGCCGAGGGATGGAATGGAGGAGATTCCTGAAGTTCCGCAGTTGGCTGTAGTAGCTGAGTTCTTATCCATGTTACCGGAACTGTAGCCAGTTACAGTTTACTCAGGAAACGGTAGATCAATTCAGCCATGGTAGTGCTGGTTGGCAGGGATTGGTAACTGAGAGAACTGCTTCTCAGCCAAAATGCAGACCTTGCCTTCAAGGAGACACCCAGCCTGGGGGCCCTGGCCTTCTGGGTCTGGTGATTGTGTACATGCTGGCAACGTGAGGGCTCCACTCACCCTGGCGAGCAAAAAGGGAACAGCGATTCTCTTTACTTTCCCCAGCCCCAGACCCTATTACCAACACCAATTTCCCAGAGAGTTACATGAGTTTTGAATTTTTTAAAAATTTTGTTTTTCCAGGAAGTGCTAAGTGCTTTAAGCAATGTTTATACCCCAGTAAGACTCCCAGCTTAGTCATTTTCTTGTATTTTTCTGTTCACAGTATTTTTTCTTGTGTGCCTATGTGTGTGTGCTTGTTTTGGCAGCTCATTTTGGCTGTATTATATATCAAGTGATGAATTGGTCTTATTTTTTCCCAAAGGGATATGAATTTTTTTTCTTGTGTTTTAATTCTGCTTGTGAATAGCTGGAGCAACCTGGGGCTGACACATGTAAGCTAGGGCTACGAAGTGAGAAGAGAGCCAGTGGAGTTTACTTGTCCCCTACAGGCCGACCTACCTGAGTCTCTGAGCTTTCAGTCCAAATCTTTGCAAGGCTCAAAATGCGACAGAACCTCTCCTCTTCTCCCCACTCCCTGTGGCAGGGACTAGACCATCCCTACATGCAACATGCGGTTTCTCTGGCCCCCTCCCATTGCCATGGCAAAACAGGTACCTTTGGGGCATGGGGGCATCACATGGGATGCTTGTGTAAGACCACCTAGCCTTCTCTTCCCCTCCCTTCCTCTCCCAGAATCACTTCCTAGGACACCCGAGCTGCTTGCCCAGGGTCCTGTTTCCCTGCTAACTCCAGAGAAGCATCCCAGGGCTTTGTGACAGTCTCTAATTCCCTTCCCTTCTCGTTAAGAATCATATTGTATAGTAGCTTTCAGACCATACAGTATTCATTGGGTTACTCCTATTATTATCAAGTAGCTGGAATTGTGAAGGTCGGAGTAGTTAGATCTTTAGCTTTTATTCCTTATTTTTTTGTATTACTCTCCATGTGTATAAATTATTGATCATGTTGCTGGCTTTTATAAACTCTAAGCAAAGGAAGAGCACTGCCTCAGCCTTTGCAAATGGTAATGAAGCACTGTTTTTAAATAAAAGAGAGAAACACCATTCTTTGGCCTGTGTGTATTGATCTTCACTCCTTGTTGCCCCCGCCTGAGGCTACAAAGATAAAACTTGGATTTGACTTCATAAGATGGGCAAAAAAAGAAGAAGGAAAACCACCACACTTTGCACTGTGAGGCGTTACGGATGGTGTAAGCTGTGAGGTAAAGGAGCACACAGCTGGGTCTGTGTCAGCTGCTCTCTGGCTTCTCAGCTGTGGGGCTCCACCCTATCCAAAAGCTGTTTTGTGCTTCTTTTTCATAAAACCTGAAACCTCCTTTCAGCTTGACTTTCTACCATTCATCCTCCCTTGGACCCAGCTGCTGCCCTCACCCTGCCATGGACACTATCCTTGCAGGACCCGTTGCTCTACTTGACCTTCCCACAGTGTCTGCTCCTGCCCTGCTCAGCCACCTCTGCCCTACCACCCGGGGCTTTGCTGCTTCCTCAGCTGTAGGAAATGTGTCCCACCCACCCCTTTTTTGTCTTCCTGTGCTTTTCAGGCATCCCTTCCTGCACTGGTTTCTTACCCAGTAATGTCCAAGTCTCTGAAATTCTCTATAAACCCCATTCCCTTAACTTAACCCTGTAAGACCATTGTGCTTTCTGATTTCATGACAAATGCAGAGGCCATCCCTGCATGAGTTCCTGCTCCCGGGTCTGTAAACTCTCTGAGTTGTATTGGTGCTTTCCCTTCTCTCCCCTACTGCTAGTTTATGACCCTGTACCTGTGCCCTGCAGCCCACCTTCCCCCCTTTGTGAGGATGTTTGTTTTCCTCTCTTGTGGTTAACTTTGTCTTCATGATAGCCCCTTTTGAGTTTAAATTTGCTTAAATCTTATACTTTTTTTTTTTTTTTTGAGACAGAGCCTCAAGCTATCCCCCTGGGTAAAGTGCTATGGCATCACGCTCACAGCAACCTCCAACTCCTGGGCTCAAGCGAGTCTCCTGCCTCAGCCTCCCAAGTAGCTGGGACTACAGGCGCCTGCCACAATGCCTGGCCATTTTTTGGTTGCAGCCATCGTTGTTTGGTGGGCCTGGGCTGGGGATTCGAACCTGCCACCTTAGGTGTATGTGGCTGGCACCTTAGCCGCTTAAGCCACAGGCGCCGAGCCAAATCTTACACATGTTTTAAAAAAAAGTTTTTTCAAAGATCCCAAGAGTAAGTTTCTGCCCACTGATTCCGGTTACTTGCCCCGCTGCCTCCTGACTTTAACCTACAGTGCCCACAAGCAGGCCTGCTGAGTATGCCCAAGACCCTTCACTCACATGTCCCAACTGCGACAGGTCCTAGGTGGATGAGTACCTCTTCACTGCCACCCACTACATGGCATGTCCTCGATCCACCTTGTCTCCTAAACTGGTTTCCCCACGACCACCTTTTCTACAGCAGCGCCCTCCACCAGAGTATGTTCTCCCTCCCGCCTGCCTATTCAGTCAGATCATGCTATGCTTTATATAAATATAATCTCTGATGGCTGCATATCCCGTAGCCAGTTTAGAGCCCTTATCCTGCTCTGTAAAGCCCTGTGTATTACAATTTACTCCCCTGGTAGTTTATTTGTTGTCTGTCTTCCTATACTGGAATATAAGCACCTGGAAATCCAACACTATGCCATTGGCTGCTATACCCCCAGTGCCTGGTACATAGTGAGCATTTGGTTAGTATTGAATTACTTTTCTCAATTGTAGATGTAAGTGATGCAGTTTCCAGCCTTCCTCCATATGGCAACTCCTAGCATTAGCAGTGGACACAGCATTGCTTGTGGTGCCTCACTGGGATTTGCTCCTCCCCTTCCTGCTGGCTATGCTAGGCATGCAAAGCCTGGACTTTGGGGGGCCTTTTTTTGCAGTGGGGAGCCTTGTATCCCTCCAGGACAAAGAACAGCTCCGTCTACTGAAAGAGGAGAGGGCTCCCTAAGCTCAGCACTCCTCTGCATTGGAGACCTACTGCGTGCACAGCATCCATCCAGGTCCTGGCCCTTGGGTGCTTGTGGAGCTGCCCCATATGCTGCTTGCTGTGCTGTGAGTAAGAAAGTTCTTGTCTCTGGGCCAGTCTTGGGTTTGTCACCAGTTTGTTACCTGTGAAATAGTAACAGGCTGATGTTTTAGCTTTTAAAGAGGGAGTGGACCTGACAGTATTGTTATCCCCTATTAAAAGAAAAGGAAGCTGAAGCATAGATTAAATAACTTGTCCAAAGTCACATAAAATAGGAAGCCTATTTGGATCTGTACCCAGGCACTCTGGGCCCTGAGTCTGTGCCTTTAACCTCTGAGCTGCCGTCACTCTGTGCTGCTCCTGCAGAAACTTCTGCAGAAACACAAGAGCTGGCACTGCACTCGGGTCTCTGGCTGCCTCTCTGCCTCTTTGTAGGGTCCTCTGCTTCCAGCCCTCCCTTAAATCTTGCCATTCCCCAGGGCTGTTGTAGGCTTTCTTTTGCCTACATTCCCCCCAGAAGGTCACTTTAGACATCAGTTTCTGCCTATGAGCTAATGACTCAAATCCGCTGCTGTAGCCATAGGGCTCTTGTAGAGTCCACGCTTACAGTCCCACGGCCTCGTGAAGTTCACTGTACTTAAAATAAATGCTCTTTCTCCTCAAAATGCCTGTGTTCCTCTTAGCTATTTGGGTAGCTATAACAAAATAAAGCGGGTAATTTATAAACTGAAATTTATTTCTCACAGTTCTATGGGCTGAGAAGCCCAAGATCAAGAGTCAGCAGATTCTCTATCTGGTGAGGGCCCATTTCCTGGTTAGTGGAACCTTCTTGCTATTCCTCATGTGACAGGAGGGGCTAGCTAGCTCTCTGGAGCCTTTTCCAGGGACACAAATCCCATGCCCCATCTCCTAACACCATCACATTGGGCGTTAGAGTTTCAACGCACAAACATTTAGGCCACAGCAGTCCCCTAGCTCAGTAATGTGAATACCCATATTAAAACCTTAAAAGAGGCTCGGCGCCTATAGCTCAACGGGCTAAGGCGCCAGCCACATACACCTAAGGTGGCGGGTTCGAATCCCCAGCCCGGACCCGCCAAAACAACAATGACAGCTGCAACCAAAAAATAGCCGGGCGTTGTGGCGGGCGCCTGTGGTCCCAGCTACTTGGGAGGCGGAGGCAGGAGACTCGCTTGAGCCCAGGAGTTGGAGGTTGCTGTGAGCTGTAATGCCACGGCACTATACCCAGGGGGACAGCTTGAGGCTCTGTCTAAAAAAAAAAAAAAAAAAAACCTTAAAAGAAAGAAAATGTTAAAAAGAAAAAAAAAAGTCTCTTGCTAAAGGGCTGTGTGCTGCCACCTTGGTCTTGGGTAGGTATTGATCCTCAGTCAGCTTTATTTTCTTTTGTTTATAGATTTAGGGGGTGCAAGTTGAGTTCCGTTACATGTATATAGTACACAGTGGTGGAGTCTGGGCTTTTGGCGTCCCCATCGCTCCCATAGTACACGTTGTCCCCCAGTGTGATTTTTCACCCCTCACCTGCTGCTGCCCTCCTCTCTGTGACTCTCCAACATCATTGTATCCTGGCAAGCTCTCACTGCTGCCTTGCTCTGCTCCCCCACACAAGTGTCTTGATTCCAACAGCACTCACTTTGCCCTAGAGACAGCCCCGCTAACCCCAGGCCCACTCTAGACACCCTCCTCACTTGTGTTTCCTGTGGTGACTAATAGCGACACTGACCACTTCCTGAAATCAGGAGCCTCTCTCCCCATCCTGCCTCTTCTTCCCCACAGGCAGGCAACAAGCAAGGCCAGCTGTGACTCCTTGGTCTCCTGCCATTCTCCCCACCTGTCACCTTTGTTAGGTGCATTGGTTTGCTTTCTCTTCTGTAAGCCAAGTTCATTCCCATCTCAGGTCCTTTGCCCATGCTGTCCTGCCTTGAAACGCTGCCCCAACCAGCTCTGGTCCTTCCAGTCTCAGATTGAACGCTGCCTCCTCAGGAAGGCTATCCCTGACCACCCCATCTAAACAAACCCCTTCTCTTAGCACTCTACCCGCACCCTATTTGATTTCCTTCACAGCATTTACTGCTTGGAGTAAGTCAATGAACAAATGACTTCGCATACATTACTGCTTGGAATGTATGCGAAGTCATTCGTTCACTGATGTGTCTGCCATTAGAGTCTACTGGGGAGGACAGTGCATGGGCAGTCTGACCGGTGTCTTCCCAGAGCCCTAACAAGTGGCAAGCCCTTGGTCAGTGAAAGAATGATGAATGCTCTGACCTCTGCTGCTTGTGTCTTTCTCAGGTCAGTCAATCCTTTACACTTTCACCTGGATTCCCCCACAATAGTGTGACCATATTGTCCCTCTTCTCAAAATCCTTAAGAAACATCCATTTTCCAGAACCTTAGTGTGGCGCTTAGGGCCTCCACACTCTGGGCTCAGGCTGCCTGAACCCTGAGACAAGCTGTGCTCCTCACTCCTTGCCTTTGCACCTCCACTCCCCTCCAGATGAAATTATCTTCAACCTGCAGGGCTCAGCTCCAGTGTCACCTCCCCTCTTCCTTTCTTCTAAGGCATTCCATTCCTCAGGCACCACTCTTGGCCATCTGACCTCTGTTGCGAGGGGTGAAAAGATGCTGGCCTCTGGTCTAGAAGGGCGGCATCCAGAGACAATTCATCTTTATGTAGCACCTAGTATGTTCTTTACACCTTTATTTTGTTGGCTTGAACCCTTTCTGTTTATATGATTCTTCTCTTTTGACAGGCTTTAACAGTGATGTTTTTCTTTTATTCAAGCTCAGCCTAGCCTAAAGCATCTGTTCATCACTTAAACATCAGTTGGCAACATGCAGCCATATATTGATGTCATTTGGAAGTCAAACATGGAGAAACTGGATTTTCTGTTAGGTAATTGTATACATCTTCCCCCACCCCCACCACCAGACTATGAGCTTTTGGAAGGCAAAGGACCAGATTAATCGAATCTGAGTTCCTAAAACCTCACTGGGCTTTTGCCTGAGGGCCCATCATGTAAACCATATCGCTGGTGCCACAAAAAGAC